TGCAGCTGCCCCTCGGGGGGCGGCCGGCCCCCATCCAGCCGGCTGTTCTTGGCCACCCTGTTGTCCAGCAGCGACCTGGCCGTGGGGCCGCCCCTGCGCAGGGCCCCCTCCTCTCGCTCCCAGGCCGAGCTGCCCTGGGCGTGCCCGTCCTGGCCCGCGCGCTCGAGGTCTGGGCCCTTTGGCCGCCGGTCACTGGCGTGGTTTCTGATCTCGCCCTGGTCCTCGTACCCGGCGGGGCCGGAGTCCACGTCGCTCTGGCCGAACTTGACCCTGACGCTGCCGACGCCCACGGCCAGGACGCTCTTGCGCTTGGACTTCTGGCAGGTCTCGGAGATGCTCAGGTCCACGCGGACTAGCGGCCCCTGGCCCTCCCCTTCAGCCGCCACGACGGGCCACCTGGGGGAGCGGGCCTGGGGGACGGACACCACGGCCTCGTCCAGGGAGGTGACGGTCAGGGCGAAGTCCTTGACGTCGTAGACATCCAGGGGCGTCGCCGAGCCATCGCTGAACTGGAGCCACGTGCTGACCACGGCCTCCTGCAGAGACACAGCCCGTTAGAGGATCCGCCTGCCCCTCTCCGCCCGCCCCGCCTCTGGGCTCCCACCTGTTTGGGGGCCCGCAGCAGCTCCTCGGCCGTGGCCACAGCCGTGACAGCCTTGCTCTCCCCTGTGCTGGGATGGAGGGCGACAGACAGCCCGGCCACCAGCTGGACGGCCAGGTCCGTCAGCGACACCTTGTCTTCCAACACGGTCACCGTCTTCTCGGCCAGGATGGAGTCGGACAGTGGGGAAAGCACCTGCGGGGGGGGGGACACAGGGCGAACCCATCACACCAGTGTCCAGAAGCGTGTGGGCCCGAGGTCCAGAGAAGGGCGCACACACCACCCTCAGCCTGTCGGGAAACTGAAATCAGTACTAAGATCCATTCTGGTGTTTTGTTTGTTTTCTAAATGTTTCTATTGATTTTTTATTTTTAGAGAGAGAGAGGAAGGGAGAGGGAGAGAGAGAAACACCCGCGATGAGGGAGTCACGGACCGGCCGCCTCCTGCGCGGCCCCACCGGGGATGGAGCCCCCAACCCGGGCCCGGGCCCTGACCGGGAATTGACCTGGCGGCCGCTTGGTGCCCAGGCCGACGCTCAACCCACTGAGCCACACGGGCCGGGCCATTCGGGTTTTGGAAAGGAATGAGCCCCCTCTATTCAGACTCGACACGCTTGTACAACCCACAGCCCGGTGAACGGTGCGTGGCGAGCCTGCGGGCTGGGTGCAGGGGGAGGCCACGCAGTCTCGCCCGGCGTCGCCTGAGTCGCGGTCGGAGCGACCGAAGAATTCCCCGGGGAATCGGCACTGCCAGCAGCCTCTGCCCCCCCACACCCTGCACAGGGCCACCCTCGGCCGAACGTGGGCTCCTGCGGCATCGCCCGAGCCCGGGGCTGGACTGCGGGCGTCCAGGCGACGCGATGGGAATGCACAGCGGCTTCCCCACAGGGTGGCCAGGTCAGGGTCCCGAAGGACACGCCAAAGAGGAGACGTGAGGAGGGTGGGGACTGAGGGCCCGTGGCTGGCCCTGAAATCCCACCGTTCTAGACCTTCCCTTGAGCACCGGAGGCAGCGGATGTTGGAGGAGTTTGTGGAATGAGTAAGTGACAGAAGGAAGGGTGACTTAAGGAGGGAAGGGGGGAGGGTGCATCTTCCCGGGCACCGGAGGAGCCGCGCAGGGCAGTGGGTGCTGAGTGAGCAGGTTAGGGGTTGGGTGGGAGTCCCGGGGGTGGGGGCGTGAAGGGTGCCGCAGGGAGAGAGGGTCACCCGGGGAGCCGAGCGTCGCCACCTCCATTCTGTTTGGAAGGAGAATGGGACTCAGAGCTGGCCCAGGCTCACCCTCCAGCGTCCCCAGGATGCCACCACGGGGACAAGGGATTGGCCGCAGTGCCCCGCCCGCCTTTCAAGCCTCCCCGGGGCCCACTACGCTGGGCGCTGGACACGCGGCGGGTCCCAGCTTCGCATCCTACCTGGATGGCGGTCATCCCGACCTCCCGGCCGACCAGGACCCTGCCGTCCTGCAGCTCGGCCACGCGGGGCTCCTCCAGCTTCATGGAGTCGGCCACCAGGTGGGTGATGTCCACCTGCCAGTCAGGCCCGAGCAGGAGGCTGGGCTGCGCCCACGGGCCGGCGCCCTCGGACACGAACTGGGTGAGGACTTGCACGGTGGCGTGCTGGTACTGCAGGGCGCAGCCCCGGGCCCGCCGCTCCTCCTCGCCCTCGCTGTCCCGCGTGGGCCTGTGGGAGCGGAGAGGCTGCGCTCGGGCCGGGGACGGGCTCGGAGGCTCTCGAGGCTCAGGGCGGCCAGGCAGCCAGGTCACACGGAACAGGTCAAAGGCTGCTTTCGTTTGGCTTAAGAGCAAACGGTCCTAGTCCAGTATAAATGCAATTAAATCGTATCCAATAATCTCTTTTTTAACCCTCACCCAAGGATATTTTTTCCGTTGCTTTTCAGAAAGAGTGGAAGGGGGAGAGAGAAACTTCGACGTGAGACAGACACATCGATTGGCTGCCTCCTACACGCACCCCGACCGGGGCCGGGGATGAGCCTGCAACCGAGGTAGGTGCCCTTGGCCCGAACGGAACCTGGGACCCTTCAGTCCGCAGGCCGACGCTCTAACCCCTGCGCAACTGGCCAGGGCTGTAACCAATAATTTCATAGACACAGAGCTTTTCAAGCCTCTAGATAACCACAGAAAAAAGAATTACAGTTTCATTTAGAGAAAGTAAACTAAAACTTAAGTTCCCGGGGGTGCTGAGGGGCTGGAAAAATGTTTAACTCCTGTCTCGTCGTTTCCAGGGAGGTTCACTCAGAGGCCAGCCCGCCGGAGCCTGAGTGAAGGGTGCGGGTGGCCGGGTCTGACACAGGCCTCACCTCCTGGGAGCCCCCTCGCCCGGCGGGGTTCTCCTGGCCTTGGTCCCCTCAGAGACCTGTTGTTAGGCTGCGGGACATGGAACCGCTGTGACCACAGCAGCTCCTACTACGCGCGGGCCCTGCGCCAGCTGCTTCCGTGTGATGACGCACAAACAAAGCCACGGTCGTGCTCTGGCGTATTCCCCCCACCCCCTGCCCCAGACTCACCTCCTGCTGGCCACGATGGGGACCCGCCAGCCCTTGATCTGGCTCAGCTCTGTGTCCGAGACCTCGATCTGCAGCGGGAGCCGGGGCACCCACACGGTGAGGTGCAGGGGGGCGCTCAGGTGCTGGTAGGTGAAGTTCACCACGGCATCCACCTTGCCCTTCATCTCTTTGCCGTTGACGAAGACGTAGTCACAGCGGTCAGACACCTGCACAGACAGAGGGGGGGAGGAGTTCACAGGGCCCGGAGACCATCCTTCCGTTGTACAGTCGCTGCGAAGCACACAGGCTCCAGTTAGGCTCTTCCCAGGGGGGAGCCTGAGACAAGGGCTCAATGCAGTGGGTTTACTAGGGAGGTGGCCCCGAGGGCAGCGGCCGGGAGCAGAGCAAGGGAGACAGACGGAGGGAAATCAAGAGAAAGGTGCAGAGAAGCAGCAGGAAGACGCCTGCATTCCTTGGACAGCCTGGAAGGGGCAACGTGGACAGCGTGGGACCAGATCAGAGGCCACCCACGTGGACTCTGACTGAACATGGGTGCCTCCAGGATCAGCAGACGAAGACTCGAAGACTAGAAGCCCCTCCTCCAACCTTGGAGATAGTTAAGGCTCCTGGAAATGAGACCGGGATTATGTTCTTCCACCTTAATGGATTGAAAAAGGAAAACAGAAATCAAGGCGGGTTAGAGAGAAACGACATGACCGTCTTGCATAACCAAGTTTACGGGATGGGATTTACATTGACCCCAAGTGCCCATGTCAACCACCAAACTGAAATCCGGTTCATCTTTGATTTCTTGGTTCCTCATACCAGCTGCTCAGAGAAGCTCAGCAAAG